CTCGGGCTTCAAGAAAAGATTTAGGTATGAATCTTTAAAGCAGTGTTCCCTTTTTTAACCACTTTCACTCATAGTGAGTCGTTATACGGCTCCCTCAAAAATGAGGCTGATGATTATCAAGCGCGTCTAAATATGCGAGTGCTGTGCACTGGCAAGTTCATAGCATTAAGAGGGACAAGACTTTTTCAAAGATAGATTAAAATGCCTTTCGATTGTGTTTATAAATTTGGCTCCAAATTTAAAGCCTAATTTGCAAAAGTGTAAAGAGTGAATATTTAGTAGCATTTAACAGGTTTAAAAACAGTTTTATGAATCTTAGCCATAGATTGTTCCTGGGTTAAAGGTCAAAATACCACCTCTCAAATACATTTTGACGTGGCATTAATTCTCTCCTATTCTTTTTTAATCAACTGATAGAATCCTCCATTGTACTTGTTCATGGCACTGCAGATATCGAGAAAAATTGGTGCTTGGTCATTTTGTCCAATTTCTAGGCAGAAGCTTGAACAACCATACTCGTGAGGTGTAGTAGGTGAGTAATATTTTAAGAATAGCATTAAAGCTACTAGACATGTGGCAGACAGATAAGAATTCTGTTCTAATGGCACAGATCAACGTCCTTCAGAGATGTCTACGCGGTTCTCCATTTAAAAAAGGATGATTTAAATTCGGTAAAAATTTCAAACTAGAGCAAACTTTAGTACACAGACAGGAGGAAGCGATTGCAAGACTAATGCATCTGCGAGTAAAGACCTTTTGTTGGTCAGTAAGCGTTGCTTTAACAAAAGTCGCTGCCTAGGTCTTGACTACTTCAGCACTGCTTCTCATTCTACTTTTGAAATTGCCTTTGAACCATTCTTCATGCCTCTTCAATTTTCATACTTTCTTAGTGAATTTGTGTTAAAGTGAGTTGTAGACGCATAAACAACTTACTTGTGATCATCTGTTATTATTTCTGCTACATTCAAAACTCGAACGCGGCACATGTAGCCAGTGTCACTACAAAATGACCATGTCCTCGCATTTCCAGCACCTCTATGGAAGCACCACAGTTGGCCGATGTTTCATGTTAATAGTAGCTTGAATTCAAGTAATCATTATAAACATGTAAAAATATGTGGTATGTTGTTGCATCAGAAATGCAAAGAAAGGCTGTCGTAAGAGAGACAGTAGTTCAGTTAGTAATTGTTTGTTTAGCGCATGTCTAAGGACCTGGAGATTTTGCTTAAGGCTGGTGTCTTTCGAAATCAACTCTAATAAAATGCGTTCTATCGCGTAAATCTAAAGATACCATGGACTCGATATTGGTAGAACCATTTCTGCTACGGTCTGCACACTACCAGTATGTTTCACAGGTTTCCAAATGTCACCTATCTCATTTTGTTCCCATTTTATTTAGCAAGTGCTCATGGCTGAATGTAGACTGAGCACCTCAAAGTTATCCCCTTCGAATACGGTGGCTGGTACGGTCATTCAAATGCTTCGATTCGTCTGTGTAGCTGCTCCGTAGTTAGTAGGTTTCATTTGGACTTGTTGGCTCCAAATTGTATATCGCATCCATTTAGTCCTTGGTGTATTTCTCCTAAGGGTCTTAGAATCACCTCTTTTAGTGACAATGCTACGGCAGATGTAGAGGCGATTCTAAAGGGGGCCAACACAGCCATCACTAAAGACGTTCCAGTAGACTACAGGAAAGATATACGCATCTTCCTCGGGGCTGTAGCGAGTGCCTTATCACAAGAGTAAGTAAACTATTTGGCCCAACTTATTTCGGTCAAACATATCCACGAAGTTGTGAAAAAGGAAAGTGGCTTCAATTTCGTCTCTCAAATAAGGTGATATTAGGCAAGAAATAGTAGCAGTGCTACCCAGAGTTTGGCAGGTGAATACCCTCAGTAACTGACATTTACAAGTTTTAATAGTGGAGAAGTGCTCCATCGAAATGCATCAAACATCGACTGAGATCGTGCTCGGTGTAATTTGATATCCTCTTGCGTTTAACCTGTATTAGTTTATGTGCAGAAGTATCACCTGTTAATGCCTTTAGCAGTTCTAAATTCGCACTTATACAAGCGCGCTGTGCATTTGTCCTAAGATATGCCATTTACTTCCAAACCAGACATATTGAGATGAATAGAGTTCCTACCAAGGAAAATTCCCTTTGCAAAGTGTTTTGTTCTCACATTTTGTGCTATTTGAGCCAAAATTATAAGTGGAATCATTTGTTTGACTGCAACTGGTTAAGAGGTCAATCAGTCCTGTTGGAATCGGCACTAGTTGACAGAGTGTCGTCACTTCCATCGCAGCATTTACTACTCATGCCTTAATTGCCATGCAATTTTTCCTTCTTTGGCTAGTCCATTTTCAGTGCTGCGTAGTCGCAGTATATTCTTGCTTTGACCCATAATTTTTTATTTCACAAATACGAGTTTATTGTGTGGCACTAATTCGGCATTTGCCTCCACTACGCTGTAGCCACTTATCATCTCACCTCAGCTGAATTCAGGAAAAGAGGACTGATCATGGTTAGCACTGCTTGTGCCAGTGGTGATGCACGTGCTTAGCAGTTACTGCTGCATGAGTAGGTGAAGCAGAAGTCAATTACGGTGGACTGAATTGAAACATTGGTGCAAGCAGACTAAAGTTGATATCACAAGCATGCCTTAGTCATTCAGCTGGTACTTTGATCAAGCCAGGCACCTGCACATACCGACTCTAAGTGGTGCAACAAAGTAGGAGTAAGAGCTCGATTTTGTAAATAGGGATTCCAACTTCTCCTCATTTCTGCTTTCCATCTACAAGGAAACATATGAGCATTCACTTAGCTTCGTCTGATAGTCCGCTTCCCTCCTTCATGTCCTCCCTATTCCGACCTATCAGTGAGATATCCTAATGCAGGCTAAGGAGCTCCTTCCACATTCACTATATTACTAAATTATAGAGCAATCATTAGCTGCAAAAATGGAATCTGCCTTGATGTATTGGCATAAGAAAGAAAAATATGGATGGCATGGAGGTTAGATGGGTGAATAAGTGAATGAATGGCTTAGGAAATAATTTGGTGGATTGACGAATCTGCAATAAGTGCTTGAGAATGACATGTTTATATTGGGATGACTTAATTAGGAAATGGATAAAATGAATAAATCTAGGCCAAAGGAGTGAATGCTAAATAAATGTAGGAAAGGTGGTCTTTAATAGGCCTTTGCCAACCTTCTAATTTGCAATGCTTGCCCAACACTAGGTCATTTGGCCTATATCATAGTTCCATGTTTTTATTTTAAATACTTGCCTACTTTAAGTACTTTCATATTTTGACATTATTTGATCATTCACCACACCTACTTGTTGACTCGTAAATTCTACTCTCGTTTACTGCGTAATGTGGCGATAGTACATGTACGAGGAAACCTCATCGCTAGCTGGTGGATGGATTTTGTACTAATTTGCAGAAGACGTGCTTTGATAAACCTGTTACAGATTATGATAAGCTGGAAAGAGAATTTTCCACTGTGGTGTATTGGTAAAAGGTTTGTAAAATGGTTGATTATAAGCTAAGTTAAATCACTTTTAGGCAATTTAGTTACATATTATTCTTTGCACTGAGCAAAAATCATTTTTCTCTGTATAGTGCAATTTCAGCTCGACACTTGAATCATGCTTCACCGTATTTCGCCAAAGTAAATTGATGTGTATGTATGGATATATGCAAATAACAGGTGAGAAGTATTCCTTCATTTAATTAATTCGTTCATCCGACGAGTTAAAGAATGGACATACGCGAAGTTTGTAGGTTTTGAAATTCTAACTAACTGGTAGTTACGCATCGCCTTCAAATAAGTACTAATAAAGCTAGAACTTGACGTTATAGACATGAAATTTGTGTGTTGGGCACGAAATACCCCATGTCATTAGAGGTCACATCTTCGCGCACGAAAGCCGTCGACCCAAATTAGTCAAACACCCTTAATGCTCTTAACATATCAAATTAGT